TATTTTACTTTTTTCTTTTCTTTTTGCAGCAGAAACTATTAAGCAATCTATTAGGTTTTTGTTTTCAATGTCATCAATTTCTGCTCTTTATTATTTACTTCTGTTTGTTTTGGATTTAACTTTGTTCTCTTTTTTTTAGCTTATTAAAGTGGAAGCTTAGGTAATTTTTTTTTTAATTATTTCTATTGTCTCTCTGGAAAGTAGCTATAAAATGCATCCTTGCTGTGACGGGTCTCCCTGATTGTTATGGATTCTTAAAACGTACATTTCATGGGACACCTCTTTATCCTGAGGGATGGATGGCCTGATGTCTGTTTTACTGACAGACACCTTGTGGTTCTTTGTTGACCTGTGTCTAGTTTATTCCTACTAAGATAGCCTTTCTCTAGGAGAGCCCTGACCAGGAAAGAAGTCTGGGTGTGTCAGCAGGTGAAACACAGAAGAGGCAGCACAGCAGAACACATCAAATAACAGAAGCATTTTGATTACAGAGCTCAGAAAGAAGAGGGCAGCACACCTTGCAGGGCTGTTTGGGACACACATGCTCAACCTGTAGGCGGGGGGCCAGAGAGAGACAGAGACAGACAACTTGTGGGATTAAAGCCTTTATTGGGGTCCGAAGTATTATCCAAGCAGGTTTCCCATGGGGAATTTTCATTGGTGGATTTAAAGCAAGCAGGCATATGTTCTGTGGGGCCATGCTGTGACTGAAAGATGGTCACTGTGACATTTCTGTGCGGTCCCTGTGGGGTGTAGGGGTCAGTGGGGCACGCCAAGGGGGGTGTATCTAGCTTCCCCATAGGGAGCTGCTCAACCGGAGGTGATTATCGGGGGCTACATGGATCAACCACACTGAGGAACTGGAAAGAAGTAGAGAATTGTGAACTGTGTGAAGTGTGAGTAAGCCCTGCTCTGGCATAAGAAAGTTCAACTTATATTCAGAATTGATGCTGAGGTAACATAACCTTATAGAATTGACTCCAGTCATTGATTTGAAAACTTCAGTCTTTTCTAATATATTTAATGCTCTACATATCCCTCTAAGCACTGCTTGAGTTGCATGCCTCAGGTTTTGGTACGTTATGTTTTAGTTTTTATTCAATTCCAAATGTTTTTTGATTTCTCTTTTGACTTCCTTTTTGAATCATGGATTTAGAAGTATGTTACTTATTTTCAAATATTTGGGGATTTCCAAATATATGTGAATTTTCTATGCACATTTGAAAAGAAAGTATATTCTGCTGATGTTGGGTGAAACATTCTATAAATGTTAACTAGCCCAAGGTGTTTGATAGTGCTATTCAGATCTTCTACATCCTGTATTCAGGATGATAGCGACATTAGTGAAGGGAGGTGAGGATCATATTCGGATGTTGGATCATATTTGGATGTTGGATTATGGCTTTCAGTAATGAGATTAAGTAATACTTTTTTTTAAGATGGAGTCCAGCTCTATTGCCAGGCTAGAGTGCGGTAGCATGAACTCATCTCACTGCAACCTCTGCCTCCTGGGTTCAAACGATTCCCCTGCCTCAGCCTCCCAAGTAGCTGGGACTACAGATGCCTGCCACCATACCCAGCTAATTTTTTTGTGTTTTTAGTGAAGACAGGGTTTCACCGTGTTAGCCAGGATGGTCTGGATCTCCTGACCTCGTGATCCGCCTACCTTGGCCTCCCAAAGTGCTGGGATTACAGTTGTGAGCCACCACACCCGGCCTATTACATTTTTATACATTTTAAAAGTCCCACAAATAAGGCATGAACCAATGGTCAGAGTGTGTTATGAGCTAAGGATTATGATTACTGTTTCTCAGAAAAGAAAAAAAAGGGATTTAACTTTTGTTTCTTGGTGCTTTAAATTTTGAATTTTTCACCTTGTGATGAAGAACTTATTACTTAATTTGGAGCCGGAATGGAGAAGGGACTATCCTTTGATATTGGACTCTAAATATCCCTAAAAGAGCCCCCCCAAGAGAATCTGCTTGAAGAGTTAGAGGAAAAGAATGAAGGCCCCAGGGCTGCAGGATGGTGAGCCGGCATGAAAATAGGGGAAGGTGAAGTCAGAGAAGTGGGCAGGGCCAGCGTGTGTCCAAATGGTAGGCTGGGATAAGAGTTTGGGGTCTTATTCTGACTGTAATGAGAGACACTGGAGGGGCTAAAGTAAGAGAGTGACAAGATCAAATCTACAGTTTAAAATGCTCGGCTGTGCCTGCTATAAAAAAACCAGGACGGCCGGGTGTGGTGGCTCACGCTTGTAATCCCAGCACTTTGGGAGGCCGAGGCGGGTGGATCCCGAGGTCAAGAGATTGAGACCATCCTGGTCAACAAGGTGAAACCCCGTCTCTACTAAAAATACAAAAAATTAGCTGGGCGCGGTGGTGCGTGCCTGTAATCCCAGCTACTCAGGAGGCTGAGGCAGGAGAATTGCCTGAACCCAGGAGGCGGAGGTTGCAGTGAGCCGAGATTGCGCCATTGTACTCCAGCCTGGGTAACAAGAGCAAAACTCTGTCTCAAAAAAAAGAACCAGGACACAGGGGCAAAACTCTGTCTCAAAAAAAAAAAAAAAAAAAAGAACCAGGACACAGGGGCAAGGCCTCAGGTCATTCAAGGAGGGGGCTGCTACAGTAGTCCAGGTGAGAGGGAGTAGGCAGTAACTTTAGAGGTAGAGAATGTTGTATTCTTTGGGATATATTTTGGAGTTAGGTCATGAACGAAAGAGCTAAAGAGTGGACATCCTCACTATCACCATCACCTTTTCTCATACGTATTGAGTGTTATTTTGGTGCCAGACATTGGACTAGTAAGCATTTCATATGCCTAATATCTTTTAATCCTCAAAACAATCCCTATGTGGTAGGTGCTATTGGCCCCATTTGACACAGACAAAATGGAGACTTAAATAAGTTAACTTGCTTAACTTCTTTGTTGGTTTTTAGATTAGTAATAAGGTAGAATTTTGATTTCAAGTTTAGAAAAAAATTTAATGAATGTGAAGTAAATAAGGCACAAAATAGATGGAAACAGAATAGACAAACACCAGGAAAACTAGAGAGTTGTTGTTAAAAGTATTTTTATTGTAAGTTGCAACCTGCTATTTTGGGGTTACTATAGAGTATATGAAAACCAAGAGACACCGTTACAAAAGAATCTTATTTGGTATCTCTTGCAATGTGGGAGAAGTGGGAACAGAAGGGAGAACAATTTTCCCTCTTTTCTGTTATCTTCCGAGTAGAAGGAGTTTAATTAATAAACTGGTTTCTGTGTCACTTTACTCATTACGTGCCGGCTGGGGATGTGTGACATCTGCAGCACATTTAGAAAGAGTAGTCTGGGCATGTTCAGCTTTTCCTTGTTGAGACCCAACCACAGAGCATGCATTTCCCCCATTTTCTCCTAGGCAGACCTTTTTTTCCCACCAAGAGCCCAACGCTGCTAGGATGGGCTGCCATGTCTCCCTTCTGTTGGAAGGGCTCAGTTACAATCCATTTTGCTCCTACTCTAAGCTTTCCTCCATTCTCTGTCCTGGCCTTGCATGCCAATACAGGTGGCATTTGGGCCTCTGCTTGTCTTACCCCTTCTGCTACTTCTTTTTATTTGGTTTAACATTCAGTTGGGGTAGAAATGCATTTCGATTTGATTTCTCTCAGAAAAAACCCCACTTTCTCCAATTAAGAAGAAAGGTAGGTCTTCATACATTAGATTAGTTGATGAGGAGATTTAGGTCAAGAGTGGTCATGATTCTTGATACCACCCTGGGCAGAGCTAGCCATTTTGGTAGAAGAGCCAAAGGTTTAAACAATGTTGATGATTAATACTGGAACATTTAGGGTGGTTGAAAATGGTTCCTAGTACTTTAGCTATAAAAATGGAGACAGCAGTTGCTATGGAAATGTGACAAGTTAAAATAACAGCTTTAAGTGAGCATGAAGAAGCAGTGAGGGTAAGACCGATGATTACGTGCTCTGTGTAACTACTCTTGATGAATGTTGAGTGCTTAATTTTCCTGATTAAATTTTTAAACACCATTTTTTTCATTATCCAAAACGAATGGAATTTCTCATTCTCTCACTCTAGCTACTGCTTGGTGCAGTGATTATTTCTTCTCACACAGATTCCAAGGCAGACCTAAAGAAATATGTCTGTGTTGCCATATGATCTTACTAATATTCAGAGCTGATGTTTAAAATCCTGTCATTATAATTAAACATCTGTGTGGGATCTCGGGGGAGTTGACAAAACTGTTCTTTGATGCTCTTCGTAAAATTCCTGGAAGGGAGCTATAATTTTAAGATGCATATTAAAAGTTATTCTCCAGGTGTCCTTGAGCTTGGCTGAGAACCAAGCAAAGGGAAATAAGCTTCTATTTCAGTAGGGACCTTTGAGTTCTAAGAAAAGAATGATAATTTTTCTCACTGCAATGTGAGAAATGTGTTAGAATCTCCTTCCCTGGAGAGATTTCAGAACTGGGTAGTCGGACCAGATATGTGTTGTCTATCAGTTCCGTAGGGAAACAGTTGATCATTGGTGATGGAGAATGGCATAGGCGGCTCTTTGAGTCCTTGCATTCCACAGTAAAATGAAGTTATCAGGATTATTTTTTCTTTTTTTTTCTTTTCTGGAGACAGAGTCTCACTCTGTAGCCCAGGCTGGAGTATAGTGGGGCAATCTCAACTTATTGCAACTTCCACCTCCTGGGTTCAAGCGATTTTCCCACCTCAGGCTCCTGAGTAGCCGAGACTACAGGTGTGTGCCACCACACCCTGGCTGATTTTTTTTGTACATTTAGTAGAGACGGAGTTTTACCATGTTAGCCAGGATGGTCTCAATATTCTGATCTTGTGATCCGCCTACCTCGGCCTCCCAAAGTGCTGGGATTACAGGTGTGATCAGCCGTCATCAGGATTATTTCAAGATTATTCAAATATAATGATATGTAAATGATTATAATGCATATATATATATATATATATATATATATATATATATATATAAATTCCTACCCAAATAAATATGCAAAATGTTGGACATTTTATATTAAGACTTTATTGCTTAAAGGATTTTAATGTAAATCAATTTTTTCCTTTGACTTGAAAAAAAAAAACAAGAAAAGTAAGGAAATAGAGGAAGAAAAAAAGAAAAGAAGAGAGGGGGTTCCGGGTTTATATAGCTATACAAAAGAACAGAAGTAATTTTTCTATTGATTTAAAAAATTGCTTCTTGATCTTGTTGGTTCTAGCAGTCATTACTAATTATGAGGTTAGATGAAATGAATGACTCTGTAGCCAGTTCATAGATATAGCTATTCCACCATACTAGGGAACAGTGTGCCCATATACGTGTGGATTTTAAAATTTACTTAGATGGGTTTTAACTTATAATTCACAAACATATTTATATTTAGAAAATAATAACTTGCAGTTGTTACCAAGTAGTTGTATATAATGCTCCCTTTGAAAACAAGTATATATGGCCAGGCATAGTGGCTCACACCTGTAATCCAAGCACTTTAGGAGGCTGAGGCAGACGGATCACCTGAGGTCAGGAGTTTGAGACCAACCTGGCCAATATGGTGAAACCCCATCTCTACTAAAATTACAAAAAGTATTGAAGCATGGTGGCTCACGCCTGTAGTCCCAAGCTACTCAGGAGGCTGAGGCACAAGAATCGCTGGAACCCTGGAGCTGGAAGTTGCAGTGAGCTGAGATCACACCATTGCACACTAGCCTGAGCAACAGAGTGAGACTTAGTTTCAAAAAAAAAAAAAAAAAAAGATAGAAAGAAACTAAGTGTGCTGGTTAATTTATATCCAAAGAATTCATTTTGCCCTTGTTATAAATGTGACTGCAAGGATAGAGCAGCATCACATGGCACATACTCTCAACCTGAATTTGATCTCAGTGGAGATCAGACTGTCAAGGTGGACCCCCCCAGCTGCCTCGTGAGAGCATTTTTTGAGGGTAGTGGAGGCCTTTTCCTTCCCTGGGACCTAGGTCTGTGAGGCTCAAGTCTTTCTTCCTATTTCATGCCTTGATTACCACACTAAATGTGTCCTTTAGCAAATCCTTTTGCTAAAGCCTCTTTTGCACTTCAAGTAAAGAAACCCATTTCAGAGTGTCTTGTCTATTATATGCCTGTCACTCCATCTCCTTCATTTAATCAGTCATTCCCTGGGGTAGAGGTGGGCTGACCTGAAGCAAGGTCACTGGTTTGCTGGGTGAATATCCCAAAGGTGTTTACAAGTTACTGGGCTGGGAGCATTTTGGGGGTCAAGAACTGTATTTTTGACTTTGGATTCCTGGTAAAGAATCTAGCACAGTGGCAATCAGTATTTGTCAAATGCACAAATTTGTTTCAAGTGCTGGCCTCCTGTCTTAGTTTAGCTTGAGCAACCCAGAACGCAAATAAGTGCCATTAATCTGGCACATGTTCTGTATTCTAAGAAGTTAAAGGGAAACCTGAAGTGAGAAACATGAACATTTAAATATTTGATGTACCATCCTGATTCTAATTAATGCAGAAGTTGATTTGATGAAAATTGGTAGAAATCATGGCAGCAATTTTGCTCTGAACTTGATAATGGGTTATAGGGTACCTCTGCTCCTTGGGGAATGGGGGATACTAGTGAACTGATGTAACCTGGATTTTGTTTGTTTCCATTTTCAAAGGACAGAAATCTATGGAAACTTGAATTAATTGATTTTCCTGTTATAGATGCCTGAAGACTCAGGCCCTGGGAATCATAACCATATGGCACAAAGTGGGAATTAATTATGCGGCATTTTTTGATAGGATCTTTCATTCATTCTGTGTATTTAACTGAGCACCATCTTGAGCTCCAGATATATATCAGGAGCATGCCTTGTGATGAACGAACAGCCTCAATAAGTACACAAGAAAATAAATCTCTCAGTGCAAATTGTGATATATGCTATGATGAAAGTGAATAGAATACAGGGAGAGCTAGAGAGGTGTGAGGTGACACTCACAGAGAGAGCAGTATGTGCAAGGTCACTGGGGTGCAATGGAGCTTGGCATGTTGAGGGTGCTGAGAAGCTGAGTGCGAGCCAGTGTGCCTGGAAAACATGTTCAGGAGGAAGAGTTGGTATTAAATGAGGCGAGAGAGACCAGTAGTGGCCAGGCCATGCTGGGCTTTGTAGGAGGTATGTGGATTTGGATTTTGAATCATGATGCAAAGACCATTATAACTGATTTAAACATGAATGCAACTTTTGGTCTGAAAGCATTGAATGAATCGAGACTTGTACTCATGTTAGAGTCTTCTTAAGGTAAATATTAGAATTCTTAAGTTAGATCCATTTTTGTTCTCAGGGGAACACAATTCTATATGGTCACATATGATTATGGGAAGATAGATTTTTGATATTCAAATATTCAGGTAACATTTCATTTAGTTATATGTAGTAAATCAAAAAATAAAGCATACGCAAGTTGTTTCCAGTTTTAAAGAAGGCAGCTTGGATGTACAGCTTCCTGTTCTCCCGTGGAGACTGTAGAGGGGAAATTTTCCAGGCGCCTCTGCATTTTCTGCATGTATTGTGAGCTAGTCCCTAACTGCTCTTTGTTCTGGAATACCTTTTCTTGGATGTTTGTATAGGGAGAACACTTGAAAGGTAGAAATCATGTCCTTTTTGTAGCAAAGGACAGGCTTGCTTATAGTATTGGAAAACAGAGATAGTGTTTCCCCTCAGAGCAAAGGGCAGATAGGTTTACTACTCACTCTAAAAATCTGGGGCTCCTTGAGTGCAGGGTGTCTCTCCTGAAATGAAGCATGCTTCTAGGCCTACCTACATTACTCCATGGGCAAGGGGAAATGACCAAGAATATATTGATGCTTGTGCGAGTTGCTGTGTGGTGAGTAATAAAGTCATTTTCTCTGACCTAGGAGTCTGTGTCTTCTGTCAGCATACATAAAACTGGCAGGCTAACTAGTTAGTTTCTAAGTGAGTAAAATCTCAGACCCTTCATAGTTCTTCACAGAGGCTCCTCAGCAGTCCGAGCAGGAAGGTACAATGCCAGGTTGGTGACATCCTAGTGCTTTGCAGCCTCTAAGATGTGCAATTAGCATTTCTTGTCACTGTTTTTCTCCTCCAAAGTCACAAGATGAGCTATTCTCAGATAGTCACATCTTAAGTGTGACTTCTAGTTTAAAATATATGTGTGAAACTCACTAGCTACTAATTATTATGCCTTGAATATTCTTAACCAAGTGGGAGAATATTTCAACAACAGAATACTACGTTAAAATTTTGGGATCCTCAGGACATAAAATATAATATGATGATACTTGATTTAAAATAAAAAATATTGTATGTCTGAAATGTCGTTCTTTTCTGAGAAAGGAGAGTGTTAGTCCCGTAGTGATTATCACATAAGACTGTTTCATGGAAATATGCTTGGTTCACAGAACCATTATTGTCACAATGCGGGATCATCACTGGCTTGGGCTCTTGCTTTCTCCTGACCAGGGACTTGAGGAGTAGGCACTGCCAATGCTCCCATAGGACAATACCAGGTCCTGCTCTGGCAGTTCCAGGAGATGTTCTGTATCTGCAGTGTCTGATACAGTGGGCACTAGCCACAAGTGTACACTGAATGCTTGAAATTTGGCTTGTTTGAATTGAAAGTAGTATGGTGGCTCATGCCTGTAATGCCAGCACTTCTAGAGGCCGAAGCAGGACTGCCTGGGCCCTGGAGTTCAAGACCAGCCTGGGTAACATATCGTGACCCCCGCCTCTACAAAATATATAAATAAATAAATTTAAAAAATTATACAATAGAGTTCAGATTTAGGGCAGAAAAGGAATGTCAAATGTTTCACTAATAATTTTTAAAATTGATTATGTTTGGAATGATAGTATTTTAGATAGGTTAAATCAAAATACTATTAAAATTAGTTTCACCTCTTATTTTTACTTCCTTTTAATGTGACTTCTAGAAAATTTTAAATGACATATACAGCTCTCATTCTATTTCTATTGAACAATGCTGTTCTGGATTCTTGCTACTCAAAGGGCAGTTCTCAGGGGAGCAGCATCACCATCATCATCATCTGGGAGCTGGTTAGGAATGTGGTATCCTACACCCCACCCCAGACTTACTGGGTCAACACTTGCATTTTAACAGAATCTCATGTGATTTTTATGCACTTTACTTCCCCAAGACTAGAATTGACTGGTTCAGCAAACTAAAAATATAAGATGACCAGTTAAACTTAGTTTTTAAATAAACAATAAGTTTTAAATATAGTATGTCCCAGATATTGCATTGAACATACTTATATTACAATTATTTGTTGTTTTTTTGACATTCAAGTTTAACAGGTTATCCTATAGTTCATCTGTCAACATTACCTAAGACTAAACTTCTCTTGTCCAGACCTGCTTGTTACTTGAAATTCCACAGAATCAGGAAAAAAACAGAAAGAGAAAAGGAGAGGTGAAGAGTAGAAGCTGGGTGAAATGAAAGAACGGAGAGAAGAAAAGGCAGTATGAAGAGGCAGTAGGAATTAGATGGTTCAGAGAAAGGCCACATTTAAGGGCAGAGACCCTTTTTCTTTTATATTTTTGGTTAGCAACTTTCTTCCTTATTTCTGCAATTCTCCCACTTCCCCTAGTCATTCTGCTTTATTTAACCAACAACAGGGCAGCTTTTTCTTCTTATTTTCTGTTGGGGTCCCCTGAACTATGTTGGAAGACAGTGGTGTGTGAGAGGAATAGGAATGTCTCCTCAGCACCAAGACCCCAGCTTTCAGATAGTCCATCATCTCTTTGAAATGTCACTTACAAATAGCCCTTTTCTGCCATAGATACTTTGTCTTTAAGCCATCGAGGTTCCTGAGTGCTCCAAATGGTGACACTTGACACGTCTCATTTTGGAGGATTTTCTTTATTGTGGCATTTTAATTGTAGTTTTTTAAAAATGTATAACGACTCTTAGGAATTTTGTCATTTGTTTTTGTTTTGTTTTTTAGGGGAGTAAGGTGAAAGGAGAGGCCAGCAGGGAAGGAGTAACAATAGGCACTCTGTTTACTTAAGCATTGAGTTAAGAAGAGCCTTTCATTTAGGGCACAGTGGCTCAAGCCTGTAATCCAAGCACTCTGGGAGGCTGAATTGGCAGATCACCTGAGGTCAGGAGTTTGAGACCAGCCTGGCCAAGATGGTGAAGCCCCACCTCTACTAAAAATACAAAAATCAGCTGGGCGTGGTGATGCATGCCTGTAGTCCCAGCTACTCTGGAGGTTGAGGCAGGAGGAGTGCTTGAACAAAAGGAGGCCGAGGTTGCAGTGAGCTGAGATTGTGCCTCTGCACTCCAGCCTGACAGAGTGAGACTCTGTTTAAAAAAAAAAAAAGAGCCTTTCATCCATGATCCCATTTAATCTTCACAACAATTAAGCACCTCTGTCCCCACTCTGCATATAAGGATACAAGGCTCAGGAGGGAAAATAACCTGCCTGGTGTCAGCTTGCTCACTAGTGAGGGCTGGAGCTGGACAGGCACTTCAGCTTCTGACTCCAAAGCCAGTACTCCCCACCAGTGCTGTCCACACCACTTGGCAAATGGAGGCTCATGAATTCAACAGGAAACTGAACTAGGACCTATATGTAAATTTAGGGAAGTTCCCTAGATTTTTATTTATTCACCTGAAAAATACATGTGAAAATATATACTTCATAGATTTTGGGGAGAAATTAATAGCTTCCTGAAGTGTAGTATGAAATATATAATAGTATGACATATATGTAGTATGAAATATATAAAATAGTCCTAATAAGAATTATATGACAGTATCAAAACAATTCACATTTCTAAAATGAGCTTAAGTGGCAAATATATCTTCTTTAAAACTTGGCTCCTTAATAATCTTTCCATGAGATGAATAATTAAAAACTTAAATACTGGTTTCACTCTAAGCATAATCAGACCCCTTTCTTCCTTCTCTCCCCATGGAATACATTCTGAGAAAGCTGCCCTGTTATTGGTTAAATATGCTGTCAGTCACATGGCATGAAAAGTACTGCCTCTTCTCTGTTTGCATTTATGAATTAACAGATGTGCTTGCTTTGGAGAAACTGATTCTTGATGGGCAAAAAAATCTTGTTTAGTATTTCACTGATTTTTTTATGTATAGGATTTTCACTAACTTTGGAGCATATATTTGCCAGGAAGAATGTAAGGTGAGTAACTGCACATCTTTTAAAGCAATGCATTTGTGAACTTCAGTGCAAGTATGAAATTAGGTGGCTCTGTAATTTCTTTATGTTATTTCATATCTACATTTGTTTGTCATTCAAAATGGATAGCTAGATCATACAGGTAGCTTCAAAAATATTGACCAGAGTTTATGCTTGAGGTAAAAAATAAGCTTTATTATAAGAGACAAGGGTTATTTGTTTAAAACATTCAATAAACTTTTGTAGTATGTATCAAAGTATTCATGAGAAAATGACTCCTTAAATCAGTATTCTGATTTCTTTTATACTTAAAAGTAAATGTTAATTTCACAGTGTCTTCTGCCATTATTACCTGAGAAAAGAGTAAGAAAAAATTGAAAACCTCAGAAATATATATCCTGTCCTTCAAAGGAAAGGTGTTAAATCGTTTTAACTGTTAAGAGATGGCAATTGTGCATGATATATAGTATGTAAAATTTTACATACGATAATAAGCAAAATTTCTGTTTCTATTTCTGTTGTCCCTTTGATTTCCTTATATACCATATAAGGAACATTTAGAGTTTTTTTTTTTTTATAAACAATAATATTCAAAATCTGAAAAGCAATGAAGGTAGTCATATCTCCCACTGACTCATTATGTGTCATCTCAACAAATGCATCAGGGAGGTTAGTGTGAACACAGGAGACAGCAGCAAGCAGGAGAATCTGGCAAAGCTCGGGTTAAAGACTCCTTAGTCAACAACTGATAAAAGCTATGCAGATTATAGATGTTAACAGTTTTTTTCTTCAATTGTTTCTGAATCAATTGATGCTTTCCTTTAGGTTCACTTTTGAATAGTAAGTAACTTATATTCCTTAGGTGGTTAAAACTTACTACCTGGGTCACACAGAAATGACTGATTTGTATATTACACTGGTAAAATGTACACCAAAAGTTAGGAAAGTCCCAGTTCTGTTTTCAAGACAAAGATAATAGGCTTAATTTTAGCTTCAGAAGCCTTAGATCTTAGAAATCTCATAAGTCAATAATCATTCAAATCTCGAATAAGGCTCATTAATTCATTATGAAGGAAATAACAGTTGCCGTTTTGTGTTTTTTTTTCAAATCATGAATCTGAAGTTTAAAATATCTTTCAACTCCCTGGGGCTATTCAAGATTCTGTCTGTGGGAAGGATGATTGTATTTTAAGCTCAATACATGGTTTCTTAACATAGAGTGAGTAGGGGTCATTATTCTCGCTTTGCACATTTCTTCCTTAAGTTGGGTTTATCTTTGATCCAAAAAGAAAATCCTGTGTGTCCTCCCATTTTCCACTTAGATTTCAGAGTATTTTCATAAATTTGTTAGTTCATTCATGCATGAACACATTTAAAAAATAATTGGTGCTTTTAAGTAGTGAGGCCCCATGCTAGGTGCTGGGTCTACAATGGTGAGCACAATAGGCACAGTTCAGTTACTTGAATGCTTCATGGTCCGTTTTTCCCTTAGCACCTGCTGTTCCCTCTACCTGGAATGTTCTCCATCCTCCTAGTTATTTTCCACACATCCTTCATATCACAGCTTAATGATTACTTTATCAGGAACACAATTCCTAACTTGTGTTAGTTCCAATCTCCCTATTGTATGTGCTCATTGCTTCCTACACATTTCTTTCACAACACATTTCAAAGTTTATTTGGAATAATAAATATCATTTGGTTAACAAGGGCTTTCCTATTAGACTTAGTCCATGAGGGCATGCACATGCAGACACCTGTAACTTCTGCAGAACTGCCACACTGTTGCTTCTGCTCATATTCTATTGGCCTAATCAAGACATATAGCTGAAACTGGAGAGTTCCCTGACCCCCCTCTCAGGATGTGAAACAGGGGTGTGGCTCATCTGTTTGGCCACTGTAATGTGTGCTCAAACTTTTTACAGGAGGGGGAGCATGCAGACGGGCAGGTGCAGGAATAGGGCAAGTGCTTTTGGTCTCTGGCCCCACGGGAGCATCTAGGGGTAGGTGCCTGTGACTCTCAAAGCCCCAGTGGGTGTGCTACAGTGCTCTGCCATCTGTAGATGGCTTAAGTGTTAACCAGCTCAGTGACCTCTTGGTACCCAGCTCCCTGTTTCGCATCCAGGAAGAATGGTCCTTGTTTGGCATCCAGCTTCGAGCCCAAAAAGGGCTTGAAGGATGGTGAACGTGGGGGTTATATTGAGTGGTGGAGGTGGTTCTCAGTGGCATGGTTGGGGTGCTGGAAGGGGAATGGAGTGGGAAAATGATCTTCCCCTGGAGTTTGGCTGTCCAGCAGCTGATCTCTGTGACTGTCCCCAGCCAAACTTTTCTTGATGTTTAGATGCTCCTGCTCATCTTTCCTCTGTCACATCATTCTGCTGCTCCTCTGTTCATCTGCTGTGGAGCCTGGGGTTTGGGGTGTATATGGGTATGGGATAGGGGGCCATGGCAGGCCAAAAGGCAACATTTGGGCACAGAAACAGGAATGCCTGTTCCCATTTAGGGCAGTGGGTTTCCAGGCTTAAAGGTGGGGCCCTACCCAGGGAATCCCCATCTACCCAGTGTTTCTCTGTCTCCTGTTGGTGTAGTAGCTAAGCCCAACGGGGCAGGAAGAATTCTCCACCCACAGGGAGGCACTGCGAGTCATATGGCCTAGGGGGATGCAAAATCCTCTCCTGGAGAAGGAAACAAAGACTTGGTAACAATTGTACAATTCACCATACCGCCAGAATATCCAAATAATACGCATAGATGATTTCTCCATTTATGCATGTTAGATTTTATGACAAGTTCCTGTTATTATTGACAAAGTTTCTGTCTCCAACAATGTCCTCATGTTTCCTTCCTTCACCCGCCTCCCACCCCCCAGTATAGATACATTACTACTTTCAGTTCATCCGTGCTTGCATCAATATGACCATGTATATTGTTCACAGACAAGCCAGTTAGTAGACTGTAATTTTTTTTCCTTTTTTTTTTGGACAACCTTTCTTTTTCCCTTGAGTTAAAAATGGTCTTTTTGTGGCTGCAATTTTAAAACATGCATAGTCTTAATTCTTTTCACATGTTCTTTCCTCTAACATGCAGTGGTCTCTTAAGTGACCCCTTTATTTAGACATCTCTCTGTAGGTCTTTCTTTTTGCTGTCCTCTCACTCCAGTCTGGATTGATTCTGTGTCTGTACATTGGTTAGTCCTAGGTTTCTCTTCACCACTCTTCTAATGAGATTCCCTGTTTATGAGAGCCTGTGCTTTCTCTTTGTCAGCTTTTGCCCTTACGTTGTGGGAGCATGTCCTCCAATAGCTTCTGTGAAGGGGTGGGAGAGATGCATTGGCTGAATCCTTGTTTACTTCTGGGAGCTTAATAGGACATTTTCTTTATCCTTAGCTCTAAAATGTTATAAATACCGTAGCTCATAAAAATCGACTCAAAATGGATCACAGACCCAAGTGTAAAAATTAAAATTTAAAAACTTCTAAGAGACACACAAGAGAAAATCTTGGTGACCTTGTTAGGCAAATATTTTTTTTAGACACGAAAAACATAGGTTATAACAGAAAAAGAATACATTAGACTTTAGGAAAATTAGGACTTTTGCTCTTTGAAAACCACCATTAAGAAAATAAAAAAGGAAGACAGAATGCAAGAAAATATTGCCGGTGCGTATCTCTGACACAGGACTTGCATCCAGAACATATAAGAGCGCTTATGGAGGTCAATGAATTTAATTTTTAAAATGAGCAAAAGAGTTAAGCACACTTCACAAACGAAACCATATGAATGCTCAATAGGCATAAGAAAAGATGCTCAACATCATTAATCACCAGGGAAATGGATACTGAAATCAAACTGAGATAGCAACCCACATCCATTGGAATGGTTAATATTAAATAGATTGGTGATACCAAATGTTAGCAAGAATGTTGAACAACAGAAAGGCCAAAATTAATTGGCAGTTTTCTAAAAAAGTTACTCCCTTCTATTATGTGACTTGGACATTATTCCTGGGTATTTATTCAAGAGAAACAAAAACGTATTCACACAAACTCCTATACATTAATGTCCTTACATCTTTATTTGTAGTAGCTCCGAACCAGAATCACCCCAAATACTGACAAATGTGCGCATAGGCAGATAAAATATGGCATATCCATACAATAAAATATTTCTTAGCACTAAAACAGAATGAATTTCTGACATATGTGACAACATACATGAATTTCAAAGTCATTACAATAAGACTGAAAGAAGCCAAAAGCTAAGGAATATGCATGATTCCATTTATACGCAATTGTAGGAAATGCTAACTAATCTAAAGTGACAGAAGCAAGTCTGTGGTTGTCTGGGCTTGAGGATGGAGGGAATAATTCTTAGCTGCAAAAATGCATGGGGAAACTTTTTTGGGTGATACAAATATTCTGTATTGTTGTGGCGCTGGTGTCGTGGGTATGCACCTGTGTCCAAACTCATAGAATTGTATAATCTATATGAATGCAATTTACTGTACATAAATTATATACCTTAATAATGATGAAAATTAATAAATTGCATTTATGCATAAATTTATTAATAGCACCTAGTAGACATCACAGTCACCAATTTGTCATCTTCCGAAAGTCTCATTAGATAATAGGGATCATATTGCAAAGAGAATGGTGCATTTAATTTGTAATTGGTTCTGTAGAATTAATTCTAAAACACATTACTGTGATATAGATTTAGTAACTCTTCAGTTACGATAATGTTTTGCATACATATCTTGTAATATATATATTTCCCTAATTATAAAAATGTTGAGTTTATGTGATAGTGATATATAGAAACCTTAGATAGGAATTGTTAAGTATACAGTTTGATTTACATTCTCATATATTATAGGTAAAACTTATAAAAATATGCAATAAACAAGCTGTTAAATCTTTAGGATATTTATGACAAAACTGGAGATTTAAACACTGACTTTACATTAAATAATTATCAGTATTTTCTAGATGCAATTGTGCTGTTATTTTAAAAAGTTTTTATCTTTTAGGAGTATGTATTGTATAATTTTTTTTTTTTTTTTTTTTTGAGACGGAGTTTCGCTCTTGTAACCCAGGCTGGAGTGCAATGGCGTGATCTCGGCTCAACGCAACCTCCGCCTCCTGGGTTCAGGCAATTCTCCTGTCTCAGCCTCTCGAGTAGCTGGGATTACAGGCATGCGCCACCATGCCCAGCTAATTTTTTGTATTTTTAGTAGAGACAGGGTTTCACCATGTTGACCAGGATGGTCTCGATCTCTTGACCTCGTGATCCACCTGTGTCGGCCTCCCAAAGTGCTGGGATTACAGGCGTGAGCCACCGAGCCTGGCGAAACAATATAATTTTTGATAATTTCTTCAAACTAATATCACAGTGGAGAAGAGAGTGAGCTTGTAGGTGAAATAAGATTGGTTATAATCTGATAATTACTAAAGCTAAATGATGGGTCCAGGTATATGGGGCTTATTATATTTTTCTGTTTATATTTGTGTATGTCTGAAATATCCTGTAATAAAAAATGTGTATATCTTCTAATTTAGAAATTTCACTTCAAGGAATTTATCTTAAGGAATTTCTCTTGGGTGTTAACAAACAACCCATAGTAATGTTCAATGCAGTACTGTTATAATGCTAATAAAATTGAAAACAAATTCAGTACTTAAGAGTGAAAATTTGGTTAGATACATTATGATACATTTTTATGATATACTACCATATGACATTAAAATGTGTTAAAAATACATAATTACATGGAAAATATTTGTGATACAGTTTTAAGAAAAAAATTGCAAGCTCTAAAACAGTATGTCCACAAAAATTTGTTTTTTAAATTTTATAAAAAGTAAATTATATACATATGTGGGGTGTGTGTGTGTTTGTGTTTGTATGCATATAGAGAGGATACATACACACACATACACACATGGTGGGATATCTCTCATAATTTATATGCTCATAAGTTTCCAGTATAACTTTTTGGTAATTGAGTCTGTCTTTTTTTTGAAAGGGTAGATGTTTTGGCTTTGACATGTTAACAATGCAATGTAGTATAAAATTTCACTGTAAAATGTTTTATATGCTTTATTGCTTTGTTTTTTTTTTTTATATATTTGTTATTGGTTAAACCTGAGTGTGTATCACACTGCTTGGCACATAGTAGACCCCACATAATATTATTCAGTGAATAAGAATCAGGGTTGATTTAAAATAATTTTTCTGGCTGGGCATGGTGGCTCATGCCTGTAATTTCAGCACTTTGGGAGGCCGAGGCGGGTGGATCACTTGAGGTCAGGAGTTCAAGACCAGCCCGGCCAACATGGTGAAACCCCATCTCTACTAAAAATACAAGAATTAGTCGGCTGTGGTGGTGCATGCCTGTAATCCCAGCTACTTGGGAGGCTCAGGCAGGGAAATTGCTTGAACCCAGGAGGCAAAGGTTATAGGGAGCCCAGATCATGCCACTGCACTCCAGCCTGGTTTCATATCTCCATTATTTTTTAATACATTATTTATTTATATTATATTTATTTATAAATTAATGTATAAATATTATTTATTTATAAATTAATATATGATTAATATTTATAAAATATTTTATTTTAATTATTTATAAATTATTTTATTTATTTTATTTTATTTCAGATGGAGTCTCACAGAGTGAGTCTCACAGTGAGACTCCATCTCAAATAAAATAAAATAATTTTTCTTTCTAAAAGCTTTCTAAAAGATTTTCTTTCTAAAAGCTTTCTAAATATTTTGAAGAACATATATTACTTTCTCTCTGTTAAATGCAGCGACAACAGGGGAGAGACATATTACTTTTTAAATGGGAAATTCACTATTAAAAAATGAATGGTTTTGGCAGACTGTTTCTGCCCCTCTATTCAGCGATGTAGTAAAGTGAAATATACTTCTTAAAATTTTGTGTAACATCTGAATTGTATATATTTATTCAGCATCTTTTAAGGTTTTATTTTTTTCCTAATTTCAGTTCTTCAACATCTTCAAATAAAGAAATGGTTATGAAGAATGGTAAGACTCCAGTTGCCCACATGATTCCTTGTGGGATGGGGAAGGGCTTTTCCTGTGATAGAATTCCCTGACCAATGGTGTCTCTATTAGGAGGCGCTCATGTGAAATCTTTTATACTAGTGTATTCTAAATTATGAGCCAAAGGGGCTTAAGCTTGATACATGTGACAGTGCTTAGCATATTACTGTCACTCAATTCCATTAATAAATAAAGGACATCTAGCATTGGTAACCACATCATTATTTATTTGACAGATCAGAATAATGGAGATATGAAACCAGTCCAGAATTTCACAACAATACCAATCACACAGGTATGGCTATGTCAGGAAACCATATTGTAATGTATCTCTTAAAAACTTAAACACGTATTTCTTTTTTTTTGAGACAGAGTCTCCCTCGTCATCAGGCTGGAGTGCAGTGGTGCCGTCTCATCTCACTGCAACCTCTGCCTTCTGGATTCAAGCAATTCTCCTGCCTCAGCCTCCCAAGTAGCTGGGCCTACAGGCGCGCACCATGTCCAGCTAATTTTTTTTTCTTTGTAATTTTAGTAGAGATAGAGTTTCACCATCTTGGTCAGGTTAGTCTTGAACTTCTGACCTTGTGATCCACCGGTCTTGGACTTCTAAAGTGCTGAGATTACAGGCATGAGCCACCAAGCTCAACCTTAAAAACATATTTCAATACTGTCTGTGCTCCTGTGAAAATATAAATAATAATTGTATCAATAATTAACATATTCTTGCTTGAAATTTGGATGGGGAAATGTATTATGGAATCTTTTTCTTTCTTTCTTTTTGAGACAGTTTCACTCTTGTTGCCCAGGCTGGAGTGCAATGGCATAATCTTGGCTCACTGCAACCTCTACCTCCCTGGTTCAAGTGATTCTGATTCTCTTGTTTCGGCCTCCCAAGTAGCTGGAATTACAGGTGCCTGCCACTACACCCAGCTAATTTTTGGTATTTTTCGTATAGATGGGTTTCACCATGTTGGCCAGGATGGTCTCAAACTTCTCACTTCAGGTGATCCTCCCTCCTTGGCCTCCCAAAGTGCTGGAATTACAGGCATGATCCCAGCCTGTAATCCCACCATGCCTGGCCTGGAATCTTTTCTTTTTAAAAGTCAATTTTTATTTTGGATACGGGGGTCCTTGTGCAGATTTGTTACGTGGGAATAGTGCATGTGGGGCTTTGGGGTATGAATCCCATCACCCTGATGGTGAGTGTAGTACCCCATAGGCAGTTTTCTAACCTATCCACTCCCTCCACCCTCCAGTGGTCGAGTGTCGATGGTTTGCATATTTATGTCCATATGTCCTCAATAGTTAGCTCCCACTTATAAGTGAGAACATGTGGTATTTGGTTTTTGTTTATTAGGGAATCTTATAGTTGAGAAAAACCCAAAATGCTTAATTTCACTTGCTCTCTTACATTTTTATTACAATATTCAGCTTCATTTTTGTTGCTATAATAATAATCTTTGGTTACTGATAAGCTTGAGTTGCTTCTATTAACTAACTTTTATCTGTATTTACACTAGAATAATTGGTATAAATTTATTTATTTGTATTGTACATTTGATGGGTTTTGATAAAGGAATAATGACATGTATTTACCATTAAGGATGTGAATTAGCTCTTTCACTTCTAGGAAGCCTTTTGTACCATAGACACAAATTCATATCTAACATTCTTTTTATTTGGTTAATTAGGCTCTCAACTACAATCTAAGCAAAGAAGGGCATTTAGAAAAAGAACCGTGGAATGCATTCAGCCATCATGGCCCAGTTAATGTCTCCATCGATGGAATGCCTTGCATTCTCTTCTGGGCCAAAAGAATCACGATTAAATTTAAGAATCAAACCTGGCTGGATCTTACAGGCGAGGCATTTGGTCAGAAGGCAACAGTGGACCCTGACAACTCAAATTGCAGTGAAGAAAGTGCTAGGTAAGCTGATCTCTCAGTTTGAGGAAGCCCTTAGTGCTACTGCCTTTTGTTAACTGCATTCAGGTTTTTTTTGTCATTTCAGAAAAAACAAAAAGTAGGCTCCATTGTATAGGACCCTGACACACATCTTTGAGGAAGTATTTACTGTCTAACATGAAGGAACAAGTCAAAAGTTAACTTTAAAAATTGTTATATTTTCTCAGCAGTTTTCTTCTGAACCTTTTTTGCTAATTGTCAGAATAATTTGTAGAAAATGAGAGTTAGGAAAGGGAGGGTTCTCAAACTCATTCTGAAAACTACAAAAGATTCCAGGCTTGGTCCTACCAAATGTTGGTGTCAAACTACTTTTATCCTATCAAGGAAGAGATTGCATATCACAGCAGCGTCCTATGCATTCTAGTGGGTGGCACACTAGGCAGGACAAATGCTTGACTGCGGGGGGCAGAGGTGGGTCAGTGTGCAGGCACAGGTGAGTGTGCAGGAATATTGCCTGTTTGCAGATGTGCAAGGGTACTTTTGAATGGCTAAATTCCAGAGAATTCTTTAGGATATTTCAAAATGATTGGAATAATTAGTTTTGATTTGAGATAAGCAGATTAAACAAATAACATGTTTGAAGGGCAAATTAATTTCCAATGCCTTTCTCTGCTTTTCAGTCATCCAGGCAAAAATTTTTGCTTTTATTTATTTTGGTCCAGGGAGAGGAAATCTGGCATGTCCCACTTGCTTTCTATAAAGTTTCTTTTCAACATTTATTGGTAAAATAGATGCTTTTGGAAGATTTTCTGCATTTGTTCTGGTCTGGTTTAGATGGGTAGGATGCTTTATATAAAGCATAACTCTACGTGTGTGTGTGTGCTTTTTCTACTTTATGACTTTGGCTGGGAACATCCTTTTATTTCTAAATTTTACTTCTCACTTAAAAATTCTTGGCAATGGGAAAAAATGAATTCTATTAATATACAATTTAAAGTCATATTACAAATCTTAGTATCTTGCTGTTCCGAATGACTGTCTTTTAGTAGGGATTTAGGGAATTATAAGTGGAAGCATCTACAGTCCTCTCAGATTTGTTTATACTGTTATTATAGTACAGCTATCCAAGACTATCAGAGAGGCTCCTGCACGCTGAGAGCTCAGGACCTTTTCCTAGGGTGCTAATTAATTCCCCACAAGGCTCTTTATTTGTGGTCAGTTGCATGGAGAGAGGCTGACTGCTTGGGGATAATCTTGCCCATCTATGGCTGACTGGCTCTCCTTGATTCCACTTATCCTGACCCTAGGACATTTGCCGGGGTGAAAATCAGGGTTCTATAGCTTTTTTTTTCTGGGTTTTAGAGCCCTTGTGATTACTGGGAACCTAAAGACAGGAAGAATGAAAACTTGGCTTCTAGGCCCAGTTCTACCAGTGAGCCTTGTGACTTTACAGGTAGGACCTGTGGGATCATCATCTGTCATATGGAACTGATAGCATCTATTCATTATAGCTACAAGGCCCTGAGCACTCACTATGGGCCAGGCACTGTGTGAGGCTTCACAGGCCCATACCTGTTATTCCTCATAGTAACTCTTGGAGGCACAGGCAGTTCTCATCCTTTTTCCTGGTGTTCCAGGAAATCAAAGCTCACAGAAGTTAGAAAACTTGCTAAGGTCATGGAGCATGTATGTTTAACAGAGCTGGAGTTTAAAATGTCTTTAGAAATGACAATTTATCTCCTTCCTCTTGGCCTTATTCTTAAGGTTGTGATAAACACATGAGGAAGTATATGCATAAGCATTTTGAGATCTTGTCGAGTGCTATTCAAAGCATTAATAGTAGTAGCATTCTTTTCCTTCCTGACATCCAGTGATAACATCCCATTCTCCCTTAGTGAAATGGTGTCTGATTTCTTCAGTAAGCTTTGAGTCCTGCAGGACACAAATTAACAATTGGGTAGGACCTGACTGTCTTTTTGGTCACTGCCTTAGAATTCTATTTAGGTGTGAGCCCTGAGTGTGCAGCGTTCACCTGCTGGAGTCCTGCACAGGTGAGTGTGCAGGCATCCTGGACAGCTTGCCCAAAGAGGAGAAATAGGAGGCTTCTGGGAAGGAGGTGTCAAGAACCAGATGCTGAGACCTAGTGTCTGATTCCTGTGAATTGTGTGGATGAGCGAGGCAGTCTTGGAGTGCTGGCAAGGAAATCTTAAGATCTTAAGAAGCAGAATGGGAGTTGCTGAAGTAACAAACCGAAACAAAGACATAACCATGTAAGGTCAAAAGCACAGATTAAAAAAAGATGACCACATTTTAGCTCTTGGAAACAAAATGTTCAGAGAGAGGCAAATTGTTGGCAGATGGATTTGCTACGGAAGTCTTTTTAAATAGTGAAAACCCTGCAAATAGAACATAATCCCAGCATCTGTGTGTATTTGGAATTTAGGCAATTATAGCCTGAATAATTCAGAATCCATTTTACATGTGTGAGAGTAGGGCGCTGGAAAGAGTAAAAAGAGCTCCTTTATTAGCAACTGTTGTTCCAGGTTGTGTTTCTCCTTTGTATTCCCAATTGGTGGCACAGTGCCTGGTACTTAAAAGATCTCATGGCCAAGCACAGTGGCTCACACTTGTAATCCCAGTACTTTGGGAGATCAAGGTGGGCAGATCACCTGAGGTCAGGAGTTAGAGACCAGCTGGGCAAACATGGCAAAACCCTGTCTTTACTAAAAATAAAAAAATTAGCCCAGTGTGGGGGTGCGTGCCTGTAGTGCCAGCTACTCATGAGGCTGAGGTGGGAGGATCGCTTGAGCCTGGGAGGTGGAAGTTGCAGTGAATGGAGATTGTGCCACTGCCCCAGAGCCTGGGTGGCAGAACAAGTCCCTTTCTCAAAAAAACCAAAACCAAAACCAAAAAAAACCAAAAAAACCACAAAAAAACAAAACACATTTTCATCTGCCCCAAGGTTTCTGTGTGTTTCTTTGTAATCCATCTTTCCAACCACTCCCACATCTCCAGGTAACCACTGATCTATCATATCATTTTGCATGTTCTGGAATTTTATATAAATATCACATGTACACTATTTTTTAGTGTACCCACTGTCACTCAGCTTAATGATTTTGATAATCTTCTACGTTATTGCATGTGTAAATGGTATTTCCCTTTTCAATGCAGAGTAGTAGTCCATTGTATAGATGTGCACCACAACTTACTTATCCATTCTCCTGTTGATAGAAATTTGTTTTTCTCTCACTTTTTATATAACTTTCCAAATAAAATCACTGTAAATATTCATGTATGAGTCTTTGTGGCAGCAGATATTTTCATTTCTCTTAGATGTCATTCCAACCAGGGGTAGAATGCCTGGATCATATGGTATGTGTATGTTTACCCTTTTAGAAAACAGCCAAACTGTTTTGTTTTGTTTTTTTTTTTGAGATGGAGTTTCGCTCTTCTTACCCAGGCTGGAGTGCAATGGCGCGATCTCAGCTCACCGCAACCTCCGCCTCCTGGGTTCAGGCAGTTCTCCTGCCTCAGCCTCCTGAATAGCTGGGATTATAGGCACGCGCCACCATGCCCAGCTAATTTTTTGTTTTTTAAAGTGGCTGCATCATTTTTTCCTTTTCTCCAGCATTGTATGAGAGTTCCAGTTACTTCACATTCTCAGTAATAATTTGAATGGTCAGAGTGAGACTAGAGAAAGCATTTTTGTATTTCTGCATGTTTAGGAATTTCTGAACAGTTTTTTTTTTTTTTTTTTTTACTGGGAACTGGGTTAAAAGATAAGTGTTAGAGTTAGTGACAGATTTACTTCTTGGAAGGAAAGTATTCATGTATCAAGTGGTAATGAAACTTAAGGTCATAGAGACATTCGAGGGGTTAGAAACTCAGGAGGCTTATCTTTGGGTCGGAGACATGTATTTACATACCATGGGTATGAGACCTGCAGCCATTTGTCTCCCTTATGGTGAACTATTTGCTTCCATCCAAAAGCTAATTAAACTCTTCCATTCAAAGACTAATCATCCCTCTTCTCTTCCTAAGGATAATTTACTGACACTAGGAGAGCAAATGTTTCTCTCCCTCTCTTGGGAGGTGAGAAGGGAACCACTGTCTCTCTCCTATATAAACTCCCAGATTCATAATTTTGGTGTTCCTCATCTGTATTATAAATCCCCACATGTGTAGGATGACATCTGGCTCTTCTCATGCTGCCTAGAAGGGGAGAATTGGATTAGAAGGAGGAACCAATATGGTTGTTCCCGTGAGTAAGTCTTAATTCATCTGTCTTTGCTCTGGGAAATCATATGTTTACTCTCAGGAAAATAGGAATAAATTTAGGCATTAAAAGCTTAAGAGTCACTTGAAATAACCATTCTGATTTCTGTACTGCGTTATCTTTATTGGGTTTTGATTTTATGTTTTCCAAATGTCTAATGATCCTGAGCATCTTTTCATGTACTTATTGACCATTTGTATATCTTTCTTTAAAACATGTGTGAGTCTTCTGACAATTTTTATGATTTTTATGTTGGGCTGTCTTTTTGCTAAGTTATTAGAGTTATTTATTGTATTCTGGATAAAGTTCTTTATGTATATGTGTTGTGAGTTTTTTCTCCTGTTCTGTGGTTGCCTTTCTTGTTTCCTTAAACAGTATCTTTTGAAGAGCATAAGTTTTGGATTTTAATAAAATGCAATTTATCAGTTGTTTCTTTTATTGTTTATGCATTTGTATTTTATTCAGGAAACCATTGCCTACCTCACGATTAAAAAAATGTTCTTCTACGCGTTTTGTAGTTTTAGGTGTTATGTGAACCACCTTGAGGTAACTTTTGAGTAGATTTGAAGTTAGGATCATTCTTATTTTCATAGGCTGAGTTGTTTTTTGTTTTCCTTAGGTTGTCTTTGAAGCTTGGTGATGCTGAAAACCCCAGAAGTCTTGCTATAAGGTAGGCAGGACACCAGTTTGGATAATTTCAGTTTCAGCCCTTCAGATTAGCTCTATAGAATTTATTCATTTCACATGCGTGAAGTAAGGGCTTGCTGTATGCCCAAGCACTGTGACACATCACATGCCACATCGACCTAACTACACAGAAAAGTTGGTGCTGCGATATGATGGGACCCTCTAGTAATGCTTTCTTTCTAAAAGTTTCTACCAAAATACCCATAGTTCTTCCCTCTCCCCCAACCCCCATGCCACCTACATTAGGGACTTAAAGCTAATTCCCAAACCTGAGAATGTAATATCCTTTTCCTCTGAGAAAAAAGTAACATATAAATAACACTCTCAGGGCTGGGGTTCTGGTTTGAAATTATTTTCTATAGCTTTTTATAATGAACTGCACTTACCATTTAACAACAATGAAAAAGCCTTGTTACTTGTATTCCCCAGCAGACAATCAACAGAGGCCTACAGTTTTTTGGTGTTTAGGTATGGAAGGATTCATCTGCCAACAGTGGCTTTAGCCAAGCAGTTAGGAACTGCTCCTGAGGTGGAGGGAACAATTTGAAGGCATTAATTTTTTTCTTATAAATATCCAGTGCTTCCCTTCCTATAAGACAAATGGCCAAACTCGTTAGTGGAGATAAATAGTTGTGTCTTTAACAGTATTTGGAAAACTAGCAGGACTGTGCTAGGCAGTCTTTCTTAAGCTTTGCTCTATGGGATACCTCTGCTCTGGGAAAATATAAGATTTTACAAAAAGGGGGTTCTGTGGTCAGATGTGTCTGGGAATGACTGTAAGTCATGTCTGCTCATTGGCAATTCACAGTGTAAATTTGTATGTTAAAGTTTCTGAGAAGACATAATCTACAAGACTATTGTACTTTGTAACTTTGACTAACTCGGTGCTTCCTCCGTTTAACTTTGGAAAGCCTTCTTCTTTGGAACACTTGTCTACATATCATGGGGCACTAGTGTTTCACTGATCATAATTTAGAAAATATATGCCATCATCTTTCAGAGCAACTTTGCAAGTAAATAGAATCCCACAAGGTGACAAAACACACATATCCGTTTGATGTAGAAATGGAGAATATTTTTTATCTGGAATTGCACTTTTTTCCAAAATGAAAAATTATTATCATTTAGTCTGGTAAGAAGGTATGTAGCAATACCCCATTAATACCTACGTGGCCCTTTCCATTTGACAGCACTGTAGCCTACCTGCTGAACTTTCACCTCCCAGCCTCTCTTTGCCTAAAAACTTTCTTGGGCCCATTGCCCCCAGTCCTTAGCCCACCACCCTGCTTCAACTAATGACTGAAAGAAACATACACACACCTCAGCTCCTTCCCTCCTGCTCGGGTGAGGTAACTCAGCAGCATGTGCTGTACTCTGGCACCCAGGTTTCATCACGGCCATGAAGCCCTGCTTGTCCACTTTGGAAACTTGCTTAATAATGTGCCTCTTTTAGCTGCCTTCTCTTCCTCTGTCATTTCTTTTCTCTCCATTTTACATATTTTGAATGGCTAAACTCCTCCAAATATTTCTTATATTCATACCCTTGTCTCAGGGTCTGCTTGCAAAGGAGCCAAACAGAGACAAGAAAAACTAATGAAAACAGAAAAATGAGAAGATATTGAGCTACAGAAAGAAGAAAATGAAAATCATCAATAATCTAAACACCATTTGCAATCACTACTAATGTTCTAATCTCTATCCTTCCAGACATTTTTTTCTATGCGGTCACATATTTTTTTTTAAAAACTGAAGTAAAAATGATAGTGACAAGTAAATTATGACTTTTTCATGGCTGGAGACAGTCCATTCCAAAATAGTTAAGATTGAATTTGAAGGCCAGCTCTGACACTTACTCTCCAAGTGAGCTTATTCAAGCCCTTTGTGTCTTAAATTCCTCGGCTATGAAATTAGGAGGAGGACATTATCGCATGGTGTTGTAGTGACAATTAAATACAATATACATACACAACACTGAAGCTATTAAGAGAGCTGTTACTCTTATTTTAAACCACAGTTTAGCAAATTCTTCATGGATGCCCATTTTTTTTCAAAAATTTTCAGTAATAAACCCATAATCAAGTGTTGATTTTAAAAAAGGAAAAACAAAACCAAATAAACCCAACCCTGTGTGTTTTTTCTTTGGTAGGAATGTGTACTGTCCCCTTTGGGGGCGGGGGCATTGGCTCTTATCCAGCCATCCATCCAGGGGAGGCTGCCGCAAAAGTGAAGCCTCTACCCAAGCCCATTCTGCCGCCTGACAAAAGAGGGCGCCATTGTACTGTTCATAGACGATACCTTGCGTCAGCAAATGTGGGAAAAGTGCTTTGCTTGTAAATGCTGTTTTATAACCATTTTCAGATTCATCCTTACCAATTACAACAAGTTGTCCATCCAGAGTTGGTTTAGTTTGCGCCAAGTCGAGATTGTTTCGAACAATTCAATCCAAGCAGTCTTTAACCCATCTGGCATATATGCTCTGTCCGGTTACTCCTACCGCTGCCAACGCGTGGGCAGCCTGCAGCAGGACCATGCCCTCTTGCTGCCCAGCGACACGAATGATGGGTCGAACCTGTGGGAGGTCACGTTTATTGATTTCCAGGTAATAAAACCTATGCTCAATGCACTTGCGTTTTTGACCAAAGGAACTCAATGTTTGTTTAAAACACCTGAAACAAACCTAGATGCTTACGGAGAAGAGAAGTAGATATCTTTAAAAGAATATTGTTTTTTTTTTCCCCCTTTGTCTTTTAAGGTAAGAAATGGAATAGGATAGAGAATTTTCTCTCCCTATGGCTCCCACCTCCTACCCAGGGCTTGCTTTTACTTTCAGGTTTATCCGGCACAAATAATTGTCAGTGAGAAATGCCAGCCATCTAAGTCCTAGTGAAGCTGTGGGTGAAGCCAGTGACTGACATTTCCTAGACGGAGAGGCCCTTCTGGGGAGAGGCATTGTCGGACAATTATTTTATTTCCTTCAGGGAGTGGTGCAGTGATCCTATCAGGGAAGATAAGATGTACATTTGCAGTGTGAGTGACAGCTTTGGCAGTTAGTAGGAAGGGACTCGGCCAGGAGTCAAAAATATCCCAAAGATCTTGAAGGTATTTAGGGAAAGGAATGGGGTGTAAGAGATTCCTTTTCACCACCAGAATCTCAGGCTGAGAGACATCTGTCAAGTTTCTCTATCCTGTTTACCTGTGAATGAAGCTTAACTTGTTACCACCACTCACCAAAATAGTAGGCAGGGCTTTGCATATATCTTTCATGGGCGCATTTCAACCTTTTCCAGATATACATGGCCATTCCGCATATATACGTATTCTTCCCTTCCGTCCTTCCCAAACTTGGAGAAGTGTGGTGTTGATGAGAGGCAGTTTGGGGTAGGGAAGGAGCCTGCATTTTGGAGTCAGGCAGACCCAGTTTCAAATTACTCCTCAGCCACCAGGGCAAGTTACCTAATCTCTCTCACTTTCTCACCTATCTTTATTAATGTAAAGAACACATGGCCTAATACATGTGGAAACACTCAGGAGTGTGCAGGCGTGGACTAACAATAATTGCTACCTGTGAGCACCCATGTGTGTTGGTGCTGCTGCTATTTTATGTACTTTGTCTTCAGAACTTACCATAATGCTGCAAGATCGTTTTACAAATGAGGTAACTGAATCTTTGATAATCACATAATCTTTCTAAGGAATATAACTGGTAACTGGTAGAGGTAGAACTCAAATTCCGGACAGTTTGGTTCCAAGGGTTCCTTGGTGTGTGGTTGTGTGTGTATATGAAGTTTATAGATATTATTAATATATATTATGTAGGTGTATGTCTCTCTATGTATATGCGTGTGTGTATATATGCACATACAGAAATGGCAGTGAGGAGATAAGGACAACAAGGAATATTTTACAAATAATTTCACCTAATTAGACCAGGGGAATTGATTGATTTATACCTCTACCTTGTTCCAAAAATGACTTGAGTGACGTATGGAAATGCTGTTTATGAAAAATTACTTTAAAATGTGAGCAAATCACTTCACATCCATTAGGATGGCTATAATGATAACAACAAACAAACAGAAAATAACAAGTGTTGGCAAGGATGGGGGGAAGCTGGGACCCTTGTGCATTGCTGTTGGGAATGTGAAATGGTGTCGATGAGGTGGCAAACAGTATGGAGTTACCTCAAGAAGTTAAACATATAATTACCAAGGGCTCCAGCAGTGCTACTTCTGGGTATATACCCCAAATAATTGAAAACAGGGACTTGAAAAGCTTTTCACCTATGTTTATACCTATGTTCATAGCAGCATTATTCACAATAACTAAAAGGTGCAAGCAACCCAAATGTCTATCAATGGATGAATGGATCAACAAAACCTAGGGTATATGTACAATGGAATATTATTCAGCATTAAAATGAAGAAAATTTAGTGGCTGGGCATGGTGGCTCATGTCTTTAATCCCAGCACTTAGGGAAGCTGAGGCAGGAGGATCACTTTTGAGCCCAGGAGTTTGAGACCAGCATAGGCAACATAGTGAGACCTCCATCTTTGCTAACAATTAAAAAAAAATTAGCTGGGGGCATAGTGGTGTCACCTGTAGTGTCCCACTGTGGTGTAACCTGTGGTGTCCCAGCTACTTGGGAGGCTGAGGTGGGAAGATTGCTTGAGCACAGGAGATCGAGGCTGCAATGAGCCAAGATTGTACCACTGCACTCCAGCCTGGGTGACAGATGTCTCAAAAAATAAAATAAATAAATTTAAAAAGAGGAAGGAAATTTGGATACATGCTATAGCATGAATGAACATTGAAGTGATAATGCTAAGTGGAATAAGCCAGCCACAAAAGGACAAATGTTGCATAATTTGATTTATATGAGATACTTACAGTGGTCAAACCCCGAGGTGGAAATTAGAATAGTAGTGGTCAGGGACTGAAGGGAGGAGGGAATGTGCAGTTAATGTTTAGTGGGTGCAGGATTTCAGTATTGCAAGATGTGAAAGAGTTCTGGAGATAGATGGCGGCTATGGTTGCAAAACAATGTGGATGTGCTTAATAGCACTGCACTGTAGACATTTAACACGGTTTAATGGTGAATTTTATGCTATATATATATATACATATATAAATATATATTTTTTTGAGACAGAGTTTTGCTCTTGTTGCCCAGGCTGGAGTGCAGTGGCACAATTTCAGCTCACTGCAACCTCCTCTTCACCAGGTTCAAGTGATTCTCCTGCCTCAGCCTCCTGAATAGCTGGGATTACAGGTACCCACCACCATGCCTAAGTTTTTGTATTTTTAGTTGAGACAGGGTTTCTCCATGTTGGCCAGGCTGGTCTCAAACTCCTGACCTCAGGTGATCAACCTGCCTCGGCTTCCCAAAGTGCTGGGATTACAGGCATGAGCCACTGCGCCCAGCTCTCTCTCTATTTTATAACAAAAAGTTAAAACAAAAAATTTAGCAAAGACATGGGGGTGAAGAAACACAAAGGAAGAAAAGTCAGAGTCACCAATGAGGTTAGGGCACAAAACCACTGGACCATCTGCTTGCACTGGTATGAGGTGGCACAGTAATTTGGCTTTGATGTTCTGGAGCAGCTAGTATGTGAAACATTCAGTTACAATTTCACGTGATCCCTAGGACTACAGTGAACACATTCATCCATGGTGTTGTGAGATGTATACATCCTCATCAGCATTCTTACCATAAACACAGTTTCAGGGGGACAGGTGGGCCCTGTTGAAACCCCTTTCATGAATAGAAATGGCAGAATGCAAGCTGAGTCCAGGGAAGAGGAAGTGGTGGTGATGGTGGCTGAGGTATGTGTACAAAGGGCTGCTGTCCACCTGTGCAGCTTTGCTGGTCTGGCTTATGGTGGGAATAGAGTATAGAGTGATATGGCCTGTGCGGCAAACTCAAGTACCTTGGGCAACTGGTGAAGTGCCTGGGACTGTGGCAAAGGGTAGCCTTCATTACTATGAGCAATTTACAGATTCGACTGCAGCTGATTTTTACTTTGTAGGAATGCAGGGCTGGTGTTGCTGGATCTTTTCAATAGAAGCTAGAATGGTTGATCCTCACAGGAAATTTTCAGGATATTCTGAGCACTGGGTCAAACAAAACTTACCTGTGGGCTAGAAACAGCATGTCTGTATAACCTCTAGACCAGGAAATGGGTGGACAATATATCCTTCAGGCATTCTCCACACTTACTGTTCTCAGCCAAGTCTTGTTAAGAATTAAGTGGCTGGGCGTGGTTGCTCATGCTTGTAATCCCAGCACTTTGGGAGGCCAAGACAGGTGGATCACCTGAGGTCAGGAGTTCAAGACTAGCCTGGTTAACATGGCAAAAACCCTGTCTCTACTGAAAATACAAAAAATTAGCTGGCATGATGGTGAGCACCTTTAATTCCAGCTACTTGGGAGGCTGAGGCAGGAGAATTGCTTGAACCTGGGAGACAGAGGTTGCAGTGAGCCAAAATCATGCCATTGCACTCCAGCCTGGGTGATAAGAGCAAAACTTCATCTCAAGAAAAAAAAAAAAGAATTATGTGGCAGTCAACCTAAGGACATTCTCCTGGGCTGAAGTTACAGAATCAAGTGAGGTTCTCTTTTGTCATGGAGGAGCTCGACTCTTCAGCTCGAGTCTGAAGAGAAGGTCACTCTGCTTCTTCACAGGAGGGGCAGGACAGGGATCCCCGAAGCCAGGACGAGTCTCCTTCAGAAGCTGCTTTGGGTTCAATGGTGAGCACAGACAGTTGGGTGATCTAGTCCCCTTGTGTCTATGGAGTGATGGGTGGCCTCGATAATTTTAACACAGGACAATGCTAAAGTGCTCACTTAAACCATCAAAGTGAATTTTCAGTAAAGCACTCATGGATAGTTCAGTTTTCAGATGTACTCTTTGAAAACCGAGTAGGTGTCTGAATGAGGCAATATTGTGTAGGTCATACTTTTAAAGCCAGCTAAACAGGGAGCTGTCTTCCACATTTTAAAGTAATTTCTCTGTAGTCCTGTTTCATTTTAACAGTGCCAGTTAGATATCAGTGCCAGTTCTCTATTTGAACCTTCTTCCTTCCAGGTAATTATACCATTTCATCTGCCCACAGTGGAAAGCTTTCCTTTCTATTTGGTTGGTGCAAAAGTGATTGCGGTTTTTGCCATTAAAAGTAATGGATAGGGTGCAAGGAGGAGCTGGTATCCACCTCGTCCAGAAATGGGACAGAGTCGTATGATAAAATCAATAAAGAGAGAGAAAGAGGGTAGGGAGGAGGCAGAGTCAGAACCCACCAGGAGCTGTGGAGTATGAGTCTGACGCACACTGCTTGGGTTTCAATTATACCATCACAATATTTACTGTTGTGTGACTCTGGGCAAGTTACTTAATTTTTCTGTGCCTCAGTTTCCCCATCCATAAAGTTGGAATAAAATAGTAACTTACTCATAGGCTCTCTGCATACTAAACAAATTAAGGCAATATAAGGTACACAAAAACCTTCAATAAATGTTAGCTTTTATGATTATTTTTTATGTTTTACTTCATTGAGGATCATGACAACCCCCCCTTCAAAGACTCTTCCTAATTCCTGTCAGTCAATAGAATCAAAGGCAGAGGAATGGAAACTTAAAATCTTTGTGAAACTTATACTAACCTTATAAAATTTTGAGTGTGCTTTGAATTGTAGAGATACCACAGCAGTTGTGGTTTTTACATGAACTGGAATATTTCTAAGGATCAAATTAAAAGAGGTTTTATTTCAGTCTTGAATTTCATGAGCCTCCTAGTTATGACAACCATACATCCCAGAATTTCTGGGTCAGTCCTAATTTAAGGTTAAGTTGCACTGTCTCCCTCAGTACAATCACATTTGTCAAATCATGTGGTTAAATTATTCAGCAAATATAGCGACAGTATATTAAATTTGGCTACCTAGGGGCCAGAACTGCCAGCCCAATGGGAGGTAGATCCTAGGAGACAAGGGATGTATCACTTCAGCTCCTTCCTTTCTCCTGCAGATTCAAGGTTTTGCCATTAAGGGGGGACGATTTACCAAGGCCCGAGACTGCACCTCCTCCTCCTCACCCGCTATTCTGATCAGCCTGGCAACGTCCCTGATCCTGCTGCTGGTGTTGGCCTATGCCCTGAACATGCTCATCTACCTGCGGTATCTGGACCGGCACTATGATCCCCTTGTCTCGCCTGCCCACTTCCCACAGCTGAAAGCTCAAGACACCGCCAAAGAGAAGGAACTGCTGAGGAGCCTAGAGGCCGAATGCTATGAATTGAGAAGCCAGCAGCTCAGCAAAACATATGCTTAGCAGCGCAGGCTGCCCCCTACCACGTCCACAGTGGGCTCCGAAAATTGTTTCTGTTCTGTGCTATTTGACTTGTGAATTAAAGATTTTCACCAAATGTCTTGATTGCAAAAACAAACAAAAAATAAAAAGGAAATACATAATGAATTCTTTTTGAGCCATACTCTGGCCTACTTAGGTAGACTTGGGCCAATGAAAAAGGCATCTCAGGGGTCCCACACACACAAATATGGCTGTTAGTTGCCTCAAAGTACCCCAGAAGCAAAGGGGTATTTCAAGTAGGGAAATAGAAGAAAGAAAGAGAAAGAAAGAAAGACAAGAAAGAAAGAAGAAAGAATAGAATGATTGGCAACACAGAGAAGGGAAAATACACTTGGTCCTACTTGCCTGTGCCAGTTTGAATGTGATAATTATAGAAATAATAAACCCAAGGTTACCTGGAAGTTCATAATTTCAACTATTTTGTAACATAATTTGCATTTCTAGATATTATGTCCCAATTTTGTTTTAATGAATAGTCTTTTTCTCTTTCATAAAAATATTTAGAGAGGACTCCACTCCATGTAGCACAGCATGTTATTTAAGGACCTCCTTGTCCTTTATTTTGCTACTCAGAAGCAGCACAGCTCCATCTGTGAAGTAGGAGTAATAGTCTTGGCCATATTTTACCTTTCCATCTGGTCAGGGTGCCAGGGTTGTCTCATTTGTCTGATTTAGACCTCCATGAGCTCTCATAGGTCCACTTGAAAGAAACAATAGAACTAAGCAATAACTGCTTGCTATGCAAACACAGCTTCAAGATATATCCCCTGACCTTCCTTCCAATAAGATAGTGTCCTTTAAATGCTTCCTTAATAGGAATTCTGGAGCCACCACTGATATTCTTGCCATCACTGTCTTTCATATGCATTCCTCATCCTTTTCAGCCCTTGGCAGATACTGAAGATTGATTAATTCCTCATCTGCACCAAAGCATCTCTAATAATATGCCTTCTGTCTTAAAGAGATCTTAAACATAAAGATGACATTGCATTTTCCCAGCTGGGGTTCGATATAGCACCTAGGTTATACTAAGAAGATACTCCTACATAAAACTTAGAATGCAGATAAGAACAATATGCAGGGTTTGAGGGTCACACACAGAGCAAGAGAATCTTCTGGGCAGCTGTGAAAATGGGTCTGCTGTCTAGTCCCATCCTAGGTGGCAAGCATTAGATGATAACGACAGTGAGTTTTCTCATGGGACGGTCTCATGTTGGACATTTATTCTGGCTGCAATTTTCTTGGCTGTGAATGTAGGTTTGGTTCTGGCCCTCTCAGAATTCTGTAAGATCCCATACTTTATAGCAAATTTTTTTCTGCTTTAATACAGAGTTGATTCTGTAGTCTGCAACAAAGAATCCTGATTTATGTAGTTGTTAGTACCAAGAGGATTTCAGGAAACAGACACTCAAGAAAATGCAAATCTGTGATTGATTATCTGACTCCATTTGGCTTTAAACCAGTGGAAACTGTCAGCCTTACAGAATGATATTCAGTAATAAAACAGATTTTTATTGTGGTTCCCTTGAGTATCCACTGGTGTTATAAGTGGCTGTTTGCTACATTACAGGTATGTGAGGGGTAAATATGTTGTTCAAACTAGGACAGTTTTGAAAGAGAAAGCAGGTGTTGTTAATTCTCAGCAGACATAATAGGATGGTGCCAAGGAAACTGGAATAGATAAGTCACTCTGGTATGGACAGTACCCTGCAGGTTAGGCTGGTTCTTTCTAACCATGCCCAATGGCTTATAGACTGGGAAGTTTCCATGACTGATCTAAAGGGATTCCTTTCCTTTTCTGGCTTGGTGGAAAATCAGACACAGTTCAGATCCGGCAAACGGCTTACCTGCATTGCGGGTGAAATTCATAGCTTTGCTGGATCTCTTATATGAACACAAGAATATTGATTACAAAACAAAAGAACTCTGACAGTCTAAGAGCAGTGGCTCACACCTATAACCTCAGCACTTTGGGAAGTCAAGGCAGGAGGATCACATGATGCCAGGAGTTCAAGACCAGATTGAACAACATAGTGAAACCCTCTCCATACAAAAACAATTGAAAAAAAAAATAGTTAAGGGTGATGGTGTGCACCTATAGTACTAGCTACTTAGGGGGCTAAAGCAGGAGCACTGCTTGAGCCCAGGAGTTTGAGGTTGCTGTGGGCTATGATCATGTCACTGCATTTCAGTCTGAGTGACAGAGTGAGAACTTGTCTCTAAAAATAAGATAAAATAGGCCAGACACAGCCTGTAATCCCAGTATTTTGGGAGGGTGAGGCAGATGGATCACTTGTGCCTCCTACAAGTGATCCAGGAGTTTCAAAATCAGCCTGGGAAACACAGCAAGATCCTGTCTCTACAAACAACAACAACAAAAGTTAGCTGGGCATGAGCCACAGTCCTAGCTACTCAGGAGGCTGAGATGAGGCTGGAGGATCACTTGAGTTCAGAAATGTGAGGCTGCGGTAAGCTACAATTGTGCCACTGCATTCCAGCCTGAGTGACAGAGTAAGACCTTGTTTCAAAAATAAAATTAAATTAAAAATATAAAAAAAGAGAAACATTGAGAATAGAAATAGTAACTTTCAGTAAGATTTAAATTTTTAAGAATATTGAATTCCCAAATTCTACTAAGTTTTTTCTTGTTAGCAGAAGCAACCCCTGTAAGACAAAGCTATTCCTGCCTTGCACAGAAGACACTGATAACTTCACCAGAAATAGTTGTCTTGCCAGGGGGTGTCAATTTGCCTCATTGCCTCTAGGCAATTAGAGACACATTCTGGCATATACCAGGGAACCCATTGTAAAGTCAAATCTGTGATAATAAAATTGCAAAAATGGTTTTGCCAACTTATGCAACAAAAGATTTGGGAGATTATGTGTGGTAGTGGATTCTGGAGGCACTAGCCCAGGGAATGAGCTGTATGATTTTAGACTGGGGTGAATATTTTGGATATGGGTTCTCTTACCAGAGATTTTGGATTAAGTGTGCTGGTTTGAGCAGCTGGAAGTGTTCCTAACAGTTTGCTCAGTTTGTTGATTAAAACCTGGATTCAACAGTGGCACATATTAAATGAAGTAGAGAGATCAGTCGTTTCTTAGTATTAGAGAGAGAAAGAAGAGAAATGTAATAACTTAAATCATTGGGATGTAGAAATGGATTTATCATGTGTGAACTGCTCTCCCTCCCCATAACTATTTTTTTCTGTAAAGGCCTAGAGGACACTCCCTTTGTCATAGCACTGAGGAATACACTGGGAATGTGGCATCTGCTCTTTTGAAAAGTACCCTGGTGGCTGTCCTCTGTAGCCTACGGATGGAGGTAGATGTTACCTTTGAAACAGAATGCTTAGTCTCTATAGAGATGCTGAGATCTTGGAGTGGCAGAGGGCGAGTAGCAGCCCAGTAACCTTAAAAAGCTGATGGGTAGAAGTGTTAATCAGATTAGATTATCTTTGTTAACGGTAAATTGATCTTTGACATATGTGGCTGGACAATCCACTGAGGTACCTTTTGATCTGCATAATAATAACAATGTTGATGATATAATCTAGATTTGGTATAAAAAGCCTTACTCACACCATCATGGTAGATTCCCACAGCCGAGTCTGGTCGTAACTCAGATCCTTTGAGTGAGAAACAGACCGCTTAAGACAGGATCCTTGGTCCTTATGTCTGGTGTTGAGAATTATTATGAACGATTGTGTGCTTATCCATCAGGTCTTCGCCTTTTTGCATCACTTCTGGTGTGTTCTGATCTTCAGGTAAAGAACCCACACTATTCATATGAATACGTTTACTGTAAACCCATTAGATATGTGATGATTGCTCAGAAATTGGTAGTGCTGCAGAAACATAGCCTAAGAGCTATCTGTCTCCTTGGAGATCTGGAACAAAATAGCAAAAAAAAGTGATGTTTGACACAAGTTGGAGTTGAAGGCAAAATGAAAGCATGGCAGAAGGAAACATATGTGCAAAGTCTAGGCTCTGTCATGTATGGAGAACTATGAACACGTGTGTGGGTAGGTATACAGAATGTGTTTAGAAGAGTTAAGAAAGAGAAGCTGGAGATGAAGAGAGAGACCAGATGCTTGTATTCACTTAAAGACTTAGAATCTTGACTTGAGGTAATTGAGAGGCCCTCAAGAGGATTTTGGAGGATTTAGAGCAAGACGATTACATGGTGTGGAAGTGTGAATACAATAGAAAGAGAAGTGCTGATTAGGAGATTATTGCAATAGCTCAAGCAAAAAATATTAAGAACTGAACTAACCCAGTGGGATGGAAGCCAGAAGCTAAAAGAGGTGTTAGGAGATTGGCAATCAATTAGCAAATCACAAGTGAATGGCAGGTATCTGATTTGGGGTTGTGAGGATGGTGGTGTCAGGCTCTGTGATCAGTGAGAAAACACTTGAGGGTGGGAGTGGGAGGGCCCTGGAGTCTGACGGTAGAGGTCCGAGTAGGCAGTTGGTTGTATGGATCTGGAGTAAAATAGAGCGATCTGAACCAGAAACAGAAATTTAGAAATGTAGCAGATGCTGTCTGCATTTCATCCATATTGCTTTGGCACTTACCATTTTGATGCATTCTGGCACGTCTTTCCATTGCCAACAACTTCCTCAGGGGCTTCTCTAGCTATGGTCGTGGCAGGCTGGAAGGGTTAAGGAGCTAATGCTTTCTGGGAGTAGCCCTCAACCATGACTCTCAGGGATTGTGTACGAATGCAGCAACTCATTTGCCCTTCGCGTGGGATAACTCTAGAGTATGTTTTATGCTGTTCCCTGGAGGTCCCCAGCAGGTCTAAGCTCTTTTTGCCTGCTGTGGAATCTTTCTTAATAATGTTTACTTTATGGGCTCCTTTCTATTCCCTGTCTCACTTCCCATTCCCTTAATGGTGTTTCCAGTCCTCACTACCAAAACAAACTATTTGCATCTGAATCCCTGTTTCAGGATCTACTTCTGGGGAAACCCAAACTAAGACATGTAGTAAGTAATGGGCATATGGGGAAAGTTGAAAATTAGGTGGTAGTGGTGATGAAGAAATAAAAGAGATCACCCAAGA